GCCCGCAGAGTCCCTGTGCCAGGGTCCATCCCTCTGCAGGGACCCCCAGGAACAGCCCAGCAGCCCAGCAGCCCAGCAGCCCTCACCCAAGTGCCGCGGGGGTCTCCTGCGCGCAGCCCCCTCCTGTGCTCCTCGCCTTCGAGCAGCCTGTGGAGCACAGCAGTTACAAATGAACCCTTTGGAAGAGACCTCCCAACATCTCAGAGGCCCCCAGCACTTCAGGGACGACCCAAAGTTGTCCACAGGGACGGACCTGGGGCACCAATCACCTCTCTGGGAAGCCAGTCCTACCACTGGACCGCATTCACAATGAATATGCGTTTCCTACTGTCCCACCTGAACCTGCTGGACGCAGCTCTCTGCCATCTCCTCACTCCCTATCATCAGCTCCCACGCATCAGCACCTCCCTCCGTTAGCACGATTTACATCTCCCTCAATTAGCACCTGCCCCACCCCAGCAGCTCTGCCCCACAGCTCTGACAGCAGCGCTCACAGGGCAGGAGAGGTGCCCAGCACAAGCCAGGGCTTGCAGCACTCCTCCCTGGGGTACAGCAGGGACACGGTTCGGGCTGTGAGCATCCCAAGGTGCCACGTACCGGCCTTGCCCGTCTCCAGGTAGCTGATCTCCTGTGCTGCCTGCAGGCCCAGCTCCTGCAGAGGGGAGAACTCGCATCACACCTGGCTCCTCGCTCCCTGGCTGAACCTGCAAGCAGCCCCTGCGCAAGGAAGCAGCCCTGATGCTGGAGGAGGGAGAACAGGGGAGCGCAGCCCTCCTGGAGCAGAGCGGGGGGCCGGTGGGGTGTGGGAGGTTTGTTGGCACGGCGGCGGCTCAGAGCAGGGGGTTCCCAGTGCTGCACGGTGCTGGTTGTCGCCCGGAGGCAGGGCTGGGATCGATCTGCCTGAATTCCTGCACGGCCACAGCCCTCCCCCTGCTGAATTCCTGCTCTGACCCCAGCCTGCTCCAAGCTCCCACGGTCGGTGTCCTCATCTCACACTGCAGGGACCAGGGTCCTCTTGGGCTGAGGCTTCGGCTGGGGCAGGGGAGGAAGCCGTGCTGGAGCTGTGCGCCCAACCCAGCTGCCTCTGGTGCTCCCCTTGAGGAGAATCACAGTGAGGAAGATGATGGAGTCAGCACCCCTTTGTCCTCCCCCACCCCAGCTAATGGCAGAGCCTCAGGTCTGCCCAGCCCAATTCATGGCTGCAGAGCAAACGGGGATCTGATAGTTCCCATAGCGACGCTCGGCTGCCATCTGCAGCACCGAGTCGTGCCAGCCCCGCTCCCCACAGACTCCTGCCCCAGCTCTGCCCTGCTGACCTGAGCCGGGCCAGGCACTGCCTTCACCTGCTTCTGCTTCTCCTCGATCTTCTGCCGCAGCAGCAGCAGCACCTGCTCTACCGCTCCCGGCCGGCACTGCACGATCTGCCGGATCACCTCGTTGGGGACGGAGAAGTTCAGCTTGCTCAAAACCTTCCTAGAAAATGACCCAGATCTGCATCCCAGAGGCACAGAGGCTGGGTTCCTGCTGCCTGCTGCTGCCCAGCTCCGCTCCGACATCCATCCCGGTACCTGTTGAGGTGGCCCCAGTTGGCCAACTTCTGTGGCGTGGAGCTGGCGGGCACGAAGCTGTGCAGCTGCACCATGGCAGGGAAGAAGAACTTCACCACCTCGGCCGCCAGCACTGGGGAGGAGAGGAGAGGCCGCTGGGGCACCAGGACTTGCAGCACCCGAGGGCTGGCCCTGCACCCACAGCCCAGCTTCCCTCAAGGCCCAGGCTTCACTCCAAGGCCGCAGCCTGGCCCCAAACCTGGACTCCTCCTGAAGCCCAGCCCTGACCCCCACACCTGGGCTTGACCCCAAGGCCTGGACTCCCCCAAAGCCCAGCTCTGGGCCCAACTCCGAGGCCTGGACTCCCTGTGAGGCCCAGCACTACCCTCAAGGCTTGCTCCAGAGCCTGGGCCTGCCTTGAACCCCAAGCCTGGCAATGAGGCCTGGGCCTGGCCCCGAGGCCTGGGTTCCCCAAGGCCCAGCCCTGACCCCCAGGCCTGCACTCCCACTGAGGCCTGGCCCTGACCCAGGACTCCTGTGAGTCCTGGATTCCTCCTGAGGCCCAGTGCTCCCCCTGAGGCCTGGGCCTGCCTTGAACCTCGAGCCTGGCAATGAGGCCTGGCCCTGGCCCCGATGCCTGGGTTCCTCCTTAGGCCTACTTCTGACCCCGAGGCCCGGACTCCCCTTGAAGCCCAACCCTGACCCCAGGCCTGCACTCCTCTTGAGGCCTGAGCCTGACCCCGAGGCTCGAACCCCCCCGAGGCCCAGCCCTGCCCCGGAGCCCCGCACACCCCCATCGCTGAAGTCCCGGGCGATGTTCCTGCGCGGCCGGGACAGCGGCACAGCGTCCACCCAGCGATACAGCGCCCTCAGGCTGCCCTCATCGGCCGCACCGCCGCCCGCAGCGGCGGCCATGGCGCCCACCCTCTGCCATGGCAACGGGCCCGCGGGGCAGGCTGGGAGCACGGCGCTGGGTTGCCTGGTAATGGGTGGCCTGGGGGCGGGGGGGGGGGGGGGGGGCAGAGGGGGCCGGGCGATATTGCAGGCTTAGCGGGGAGAACGCGAGCAACGGGGACCGAGGGGCCTCGAGTGATGGGGGGGAAGCTGGAAGAAGCTGAAGCAATTTGGGGTGCTGCGCCTGGGGAGGGAGGTGCGCGCGTGGGACACCGGGGGACTTCCAGCCTGCCACCCCCAGGCCCTCATTAATTAGAGTAATCGTTATGGCAGCCCTCGCTGTGTGGTCATTAAAGCGAGCCAGCCCACTCCAGCCGCCTGGAGGTGGGGGCCTGGGGGTCCCCATGTACCGCCCTGGGGGGGGGGGGGGGGGGGGAGGGGGGGGCTCAGGACGGCTCCTGCCCCAGAGGAGACCCCCCCCCCCCCCGGCCGGGGGGGGGGGGGGGGGGGGGGCCCCCCGGGGCCGGGGGGGGGGGGGGGGGGGGGGGTCCTGCTGCAAGCATGGGCTCAGCACCCCTCCATCTGCTTTGCCCCCCTCTCCCCCCATTTGTTGGGCTTTGAGGATGAAGGGGACTGAGCCGGGGA